AGGCTCCCTGGCTAAGTGCAGACAATCAAAAAGCTGAATCAGTTCAGTTAGGTGCCCTGAGCTGTGTCGATTGAACCGATAATGAAGCGAAGTGATGTGCACTTTTGAACCTGGAAAGGCAGCCAGGGGCTAGCCAAAAGCTGAGGGCTGCTAGATCACTCCTCCCAATCTGCTGGCTATTGCTGGGGGCACCTGATTGCAGCCGAGTGTGGCCCAGACCTAACTGGCTGCCCAGCACAGGCCCCCCCAAACCCCTGCTGGCCCCCTCCCCCGCCCGCGGGGGGGGGGGGGGGGGGGGTCAGTCCTTCCTGCCTGGGGCCCAGCTGGTGCTGGTCATCAGCCCACATGGGAGGATCCCTGTGCCCTGGTGGAGTTCTCCACCCCAGGCAGGGTGACCTGAGCCCTGCTGCCAGTGCAGAAGGGGAATTTCCCCTTTCCACCCCTCAGCATGGTCTGGCATTGGCTAGACCCCTGACTGGAGGGACTGTCCCCAATATGCACCTATGGGAGTGGGGCTGAGCCAGTGCCAGACCATGTGGAGAAGTGGAAGGGGGGAAATTCCCCCTCTGCACTAGTGGCAGAGTTTTGGAAACCCTACAGGGGTAAGAAAACCCCTGCTAAGACCCAGAGGTCTGGGCTGGCCCCAGGCTGAAGGGACCACTCCACCATGTCAGTGACTTTCCTGGGCCTTGGGGGAAACCCTCGCACACCAGGGGTCAGAGCCAGGTCTGGGAAGGGGGTCTCTGTTCCCCTGCCTCACTCCCCCATCCCACCAGGCTGACAGGTGCAGGCAGGAGCAGAGCTGGAGAACAGAGGCTTTTCTGTCTCAGCTCTGTGACAGCCTGGGGCTGGGCCGGCCCTGCTCGACTGGAGCACAGCCCAAGCCTAGCCTGCTCACCCAGCAAGGGGAGGGTTGTGTAGAGGTGCAAAGCATCCTGGGATGCTGCAGGACTGTCAGTTAACTTGAGTCAGGAGGGGATCTGGGACAGAAGTGCAATAAACCGGTTTAACCTAAACCATTTAAGTTTGATTTAAGCTAAGCCAGTTAAATTTGACTTAGGTTGCATCCATCCAGGTCTATCTTAAATTGGTTTGGGCCATTTTGAAACAGGCTTATGTGCACTAAACTTCTGTTATGTTACAGGTTTAAACTGATTTCCAGTCACTTAAACTGGTGTATGAGTAATGTCTGTCCCTACCCCGTGTCATCCAGTGAAATCCTCAACCCTGACTTGAGGGCCCAGGATCCTCCAGCGAGGTATGGGGAAAATAAGGTGCTGAATGCAGGGCTCCCCAGAAACTAGCCTAGGTGGGGAGCTACCTAAGCTACCCAGGTAGGAAATGGAGAGGAAAAGAAGAGGCCTGGTTTGCTTGTCCATGCAGGATCCACAACTATCAGACTTCTCTGGGAGTTAAGTCCTGAAGACCTTTCTGAAAGAGTGAGAGAGAGAGGCAAAGAGACTGCACGAACCCTCATGCCAAGATGTCCCGTAGCCTGGTGCAGAGGGTACTCACTCAGGAGTAGGAGATCCTGAGATTCAGACCCACTTTCTGCTTGATCAGGGCACACATTAGAACCATGATTTCTTCCATGAATGCCTTAAACTTGATTCTATGGGGAAAACATTTTTCTTCAAATGAAATATTCGATGTGGAGTAACATGACGTGTTTGGTTAGACCCCAAATGTGGGGACGGAGGAGGGGGGTTGCTTTGGTTTATTTTTGTTTAATCAGTAATGACTGGAAGATAAGTATCTGGGTTCGGTCTGACTTGACTTTTTTTTTCTTTTTAGTTTAGCCCCCAAACAAGCCCCCCCCCAACAATTTGCATAGCCCTGATCCAATTCCCAATGGAGCTAAGGGAAAATTTACCAGCCAAAAAAACCCTAGAATCAAACCTTCACAATTTGGCCAAGGGATTCGCCTGTCTTATGCCTATAGAATATAAACATACCTGCCAGAGAGGAGATCATGAATAAAAATGGAGTTTTTGGGTAGCTGTCCATAAAGATGAGGATGATAAAACTTTCATCTTTATGGATCTCATTTCATCCTAGCTCCCCAACAGTGCAGCAACATTTGGTTTTTAGTGATGGATAAAAAGCAGCTCAGGATGGACCAGGCATATTGGGTTAAAAGTAATGGGAAGCAAAATCGGATGGAAGAATGTGTTGGGGTCACCAGGATCATTGTGGTTTCTGGGGAATTGGAGCAAAATATTTCTCACAATTTGGGCTCAATTTCCAAGTTGGGGAGCCCAAGCTTTTAGTTCCTGAATTGCCCTTCTGGTACCCAGTACCATTTCATATGCTTAAGTAACACGGTTAGGGAAGGCAGGGAATCAAGCCTAGCGAGCTTGAAAATTATTCTCCGTATGACTAGTGAAATTCATGCAGTCAGTAGCTAATCTCAAACTCAGGTGTTGCATGCTGTAGAGTTTGAGTCAGTAATTGTACATCATCCTTGAAGTCTCCTGTTTCCTGTTAGTTTAGGGTATTTTAAGTGCAATGGTACAAGGTGACCAAATAGCCTTGGCTGCCCAGATAACCTTATCAGCAGCATTATGATTAGAGGCTGTATGTAGTGCAATGTTTTCTGCCTCTTCAAGAGGAGTCAGCAAAGGACAGAGGGAATTATAACATAACAAAAGATGCTGCTTCCTTGTCATTTCATTACATGTCTCTCACTCAGAGTCAAATCTGACAGCTTGAAAAATGCCATTCTGTGAGAGTCTACGTTCCAGAAACGTACAGATAAAACTGAAGCATTCATTTAATGCTTGAATAACTGAGCAACACTTAAAAAAATCATAAAGCAGCATTATCAACCTTAAAATATTCTTCTGAGAACATAACCTTGTGCTGTTTCCAAATACGGAAATCAAGCATATAAATGACATTCATTCAGAGACTTTTTTTTTAAAGAAAACTTTTAGCTGGAATACAAGTAGCACCGAGTCTGCTGCTGAATGATTTGACATGAGACCCGATCTGGGAACCACTTACTTTATTTTCCATTGGCATCAATGCAATTATTCTCATGAGCTGGGATTGGGTTGGCCCATAATTTAACATGCAGCAGCCTGCTGTGGTGGTACTTTGAGCTGTTGTACCCCTCTATTGAAGATAGGCTTTTGATCCTGCCTTAAGCAGGGGGTTGGACTAGACGATCTCTGGGGGTCCCTTCCAGCCCCACTTCTCTATGATTCGATGATATTCAAACCTGGGATTGGAAAAAAGGTGCTTCCAAAAAACCCCCTCGATATAATTGGGAGTGGTGTGTTGGGTGTTGTTGCCTTCAACAGGTTACTCGTTACAGATTCCAAAAGTTTTGAGCCATCGAGTACCCTTTGGCTAGATTGGCCATATGCCTTGCCTTTTGTTTTCCCCGGTCTCTTGGCCAGACTATCAGTGCGCTTACAAAATGTTCTGCGTGGAATATTTATTGGAAGGGCTTCCTCGTGGCCTTAGGAGGCCGTAGGAGGATTCTGGCCTCAGAAATGACAAAAATGTGCATCTGATTAAAAGAAAAAAGACCCAAGATGGGGTCTCTAGGAATAATCCCATGCTGTCAATAGGTTATGCACACTTGGCTGCAGATATTTTGCACATCACTATGTATCTTTATTACAAGATGACCCCAAGACAACAGGCAATCCGTCTGTGCCACCATCAAGCTGATAGAATTAATAAGGTTGACGATAAACCACCGAAAGTCCCAGCTGTCCTAAAAGATAACTGGGATAGCTGGGAAATCCTCTCTGCCTGACACAGCTGAACTCAGTCTTTCTACTATAGAGTATTATGTATTTGAAAATGTCGGTGGATGTCAGATAAGACCCTGAGATGAATATTGAGTTATATGATGTGAAGCACCCATGGCTTATCTTCACTTTGGGTGGTGGCAGTGTCTTTCCATCTTAAGGCTTTGCCTATCCCTAAAGGGCCAGATCCAAAAAAAAAGGGACTTAACTCCCTAGCATGGGACTTAGTTGGAGCATAGTGCCTCAGTCCAAAATTATGATCCTGAAAACCTTTGTTATGCTGCTTTTGAGCCTTGGAGGGGCCTGAATGCCATAAATCCTGAAGTTCATGACATGCTATTAATACTCCCCAAGCCTCAAAGGATTTGGTTTTGTGCATCCCTGGAAGCACCTTGGTCTCTACAAGGCCAAGTTTTGACAACTTAGTCTTGACAGCTCAGCGTCTAGCTCATACCTAGGCCCAACCAGGATCCATACTAGGTTCCCGTCCACCTGTCTCCCCTGAAGGACTTCCTCCAGTAAGTGTCCTTGGAAAAACACCTCTTATCCACCTCCTAAAGTGGGCTGCACACACGCTGTGGTCCCATGAACACTTGGAGCCCGTTCAAAAGGGGCCATTTAAAAAAGGCAGTAGCTAGCAATGTCCTCATTGTTACATGTTAATGAGCTGAGAACAAACAGATTTAGGAGCCTAGCAGCGGGCATGTCGCAATTGCTGTGGGTGAATGAGCTGAGAATGATTCAGATATGCCCTAACCATTATGCTTTTGGATAAAAGAAGTGTTCCACCTCCTTCTTCTATGTTTTAAAAGAAAGAGTCACTCCTAGCCTGTTTTGGGAAGAGAAGGCATGGTGGCCTACCTTATGGGGGGACTTTGGAGTTGTGCATCCTGCATGGAGAGAGGTACCAAACTCTAGCCACAACTAAGGCAGAAGATCTTAGCTAGCTTAGGCAGACCAGATGGAGAGATTTTTGTAGATCCCATTCAAAAGTAACTAATTTCCCCATATGCATTTTCAGAGGAGCCTGGGCACTTAACAGCAGGGGCCCAAATACTCAGCAGCCTTGTGCCACCTACGTCTTCAGGCAAAGCTGGTCCAAAATGCATTGACCTGTTCTACAAAATCACAGAGCCAATGACAACACTGACTCTCACTTCCTCCTGTAGCAAATAATTTCTGAGTGACTGATTAACTTCCATTTTCATGTGCAATGCAGGAAGCAAGCCTCTGGTCCCTGCCAGAAGCCTGTGAGCTTCTCAAAAATGCAAGTGCCTTTGTAAACAACCGGAAAACCAAAGCAAAATTAATTCTGCCCAGAAATTATAATCAAAAGGAATAGTCATGAAACCCTTGGTGCATTTTAATGACTGCTAAAGGTAAGAGGATAAATACAATATTAATTTTATGACATTTTTTTTTACACTCCAGTAAACATAAATTTCTGTAATTATATTTACTGGGCTTGGCTGTGTTGAGAGATAAGGGATAATTACATTCGTGCCTGATGGGAAAGAGCCTGCAAAAATTATACATTTTTGAATGTTAACAATACTGTTATATTAGGGAATTCAATCAGATGTTAATTAATAACAAGGGAAAATGCTATCTATGAACAAGTTACAACAACTGAATCTATATTTTAAGAATAGAAAATATTTTCGTTTTTTCCCACTCTAATTACAATTTTCCTTGTCATACATAAAAAGAAACCCAGCACAATTAGATGGGTACATCAGCTGGATGACTGTTGCTTATGCCACTATTTCTGTGGCAATAAACTCCAAACTTAGGTTACTGGTTGGTGTTGGAGATGAGAGTTACCTTATTCCTTGCTTATTCCGGTCACGTTTCCATATCGTTTCACTGTGTTTTTGTCTGTCTTCCATCTCAGGGTTTTTTGAATATTAATAGAAACTCCCAGTAAATTATCCCACTGGGTAGGTTTGAAACATTTGAGTAAAGCTTAAATTTTATACGACTTGTAATGAAGTTTGAGTCCACTCCTGGCAGAGTTCTGTACATAATGCCAGCTTTCTTTCCCATACAACGTACACTGAGAAATACACGCAGTACAAAGAGGTCCTGGTCTCGGAGAGCTTATGCTCTAAATAGACAGGCTGGGACCAAACTAACCAAGGTGGGTTGCTTTGCTCAAAGCCATGTAGCAATTCACTGGTAGAGGCAAGAACAGAACCCATGTTTCCTGAACCTTAGTTGCTGTGCTCAGGATGGCTTTTCCCTTGGACATAGGATTGGGAGAATGAAAGAAAAGCATGAGGCTGGAAGGGACCTCAAAAGATCACCTTGTACAACCCTTTGCTTAAGGCAAAGTTATTCCTGGAAAAACCTCCCCAGACAAATGCTTGTCGAACGTACCGTTAATAACTCCCAGGAATTAATATTCTACAGCTTCTCAAGGTAATCTGCCCCGGCGCTTGTTCAACCTCATTCTTACAAAATTCTCCCTACTATCCAACCGAAATTACCTTTGTTGCAATTTCAGCCCATTAATTCTTGCTCCATTCCCAGTGGATACAAAAAGCAGTTGATTAAGATCCTGCTTATAACAACTCTTTTTGTATTTGAAGACTGTTATCAAATCCCTTCTCTTTAATCCCTACTCTTTAAACTTTTCATCCTATGTCTTGTTTTCTACAGTACAACTTGGTTTTTGGTTCTTCTGGAGTCTTTCAAATTTATCCATATCTTGCTTGCAAAACACTGCCAAATGTTAGACTCAGGACCACAGATGTCATGCCACCAATGCTGGACAAAAGTAGAAGAATTTCTTCTGTGACAACACTCCTATTAATAGATCCCAATACACTAATAGCTTCTTTTTTTTAACATTATTATACCATTGACTAATATTTAGCTTGCAGTCTACTAGGCCAGAAATAAATAACTAGAGCTACTAATTTTTGCATGCAGCCTTAAATGCACCATGCATTTCTTGTGACTGAGTTATACTAAGAAAATACAACAAGCAGTACTGCAGTAACTATAGCTGCAGCCAAATGATCATCTGCTCCTTGCTACTTAAGCCTCTGAGAAGGGTTTCTTCTCTCCAACCCCACAAGCTCTATAGGCAGGTCAGGTTAACTCCACAGGAAACCGTGCTAGTGTGGGACGAATGGTGGGAGATGGTGCAAGTCAGCAGCAGAAGGGAAACCATCTAATTTGGTTGGGGTGAAGAGGAATATGTTACCAAGAGAAGTTAGTAAAGTCCAGTAAGCTTCAGGATTGGTCTCATGGGCAAGGACCCAGTGCTTTTCTACACTGAGATCTCTATGACGTAGTAGGGGTCAAAAAGGTCCCATTGCATCTAGCTGCCATTCTCTGTTTCGCTCAACCCAGGCCTCCACATACAAAAGAGTAATGTTGGGACCGCAGTCTTGGAGGGGGCTTCTGCAGCCCCTCTCACAATAACTAGCAAATAAGGGAGTCCACGTCTGCTGGATTTGGTGTATGGCTGGTACGGGAGTCTTCTCTGCTGGCTTTCCATCAGCTACAACCTCCCTTACTTCCTGTCCCTGGAAAGTTTTCTGCTGGAGCAAAAGGAGTGGAAGAGAGAGACTGGGTCTCTGCTGCTTCCAGAAAGAAGGACCTTCATTTCCCTTTACATCTCCTTCACTCAGAGAAACCTCAGTCTTGCAACACCCGATCACTAGAATGACTTGTGTTTGGTCAGGATGAGAGGGCAACCAAGGGGTTAAAGAAGCATGCACCTGTGACAAATGCTCATTGATGATTCCTGCTCACCGATGAGGCTGAGTCTGCCACCTTGCACTACTTCCTTCTCCCGGGAGCTGTGGTTGGCTTCAAAGGGCCTGTTTATGGAGTAAGACACGATGGGACATGAGCTAGAGATAGGCAGAGTCAGCTGAAGTCGGTGCCGGTCTCTGGTATTTTGTTCCACTCCAGTTCCTCCAGAGCCTGTTCACCCACAATGAGGTGTGCTTCACAGCAGCCCCCGGTGATGACTCTGGAGCATCTTCACGGGGCATATCTTTTGGTCTGGGGCATGTGAAGGGGAGCAGGTGGGTAGATGTGCTTAGGGCTTTCCCAGACAGGAGCACACTACCCCCGTGGCATGGATGTGCCCACAGGGACCTCATCACTGTCATATTTGAGCACCTGCCAGTAACGCGCTGAGCAGCGTAACCCAGGTCTGTCTTGTGTGCCTTGGTCTGTCTCATTGTCTCTCCCCAAGGGGAGAAATGAGTAGTGGAGTGGGTTTTTTCAACAGGAGTTTTATAAGGGCCTTTTTGTCTTGATCCCGTTGGTCTCAAAGGGTGATGTCACCACCAATAGCAAGGATTCAATTTGATTTTTTGCCCTCACTAAAAGATAAACCTTCTGTTCTTGCGTCACGAGCTCAAAGGATGAAGTAACCTCCTTCATGCAGCCTGCACCTCTGTCCTGATCCATGTTACAAGCCTTCTGCCTTTTGTCTCAGACAACTACTTCCACCTCTTGCATAATTACTGTGTACTCCAAAAGAAGGGATGCACCAGCAAACGCTTCCCAGCTCAGCTCTCGACCATATGTGATAACAACTAGGAACAAAAAGCAAGCCGTCTTTCCACCCAGAACAGAAAAAAAATCCCTCTTCTCTTACTAGGTCTCATTGAATTATTTTGTCCTGGATTTATCCTTCACATGCACTGGGATTGACACATTTAGCTTTGTAGCTGGCTCTGTGGTGTACAGTCTGAAGACCCTTTTCTCCATAGACTTAGAGGACCACATTTCACAAGTCTCACATTGAAAACCCCTTAAAGAAAGGAGGTAAGCATGTGGAACCAGATGGACCCTATCATATTATCAGAGTTGTGTCTCCATCATTGGGCAGGAAATGTCACTGCATTGGGCTGATGTGAGTACTGTGTTGGGAGCGTAGTATGAGGTTGACCCAACGTTTTCTGGAGAAGTAGGATCAGGGGCAGGTCCTGAAGTACATAGCTTGCCACCACTGAGGAAAGAGCAGATCTGCTGCCTTCTGGGCAGGGCTGGTTCAGGGCATGGCTATCATAGGATCATCGAAGATGGCTGGAAGGGAGCTCAGGAGATCACATCTAGTCCAATCCCCTGCTCAAAGCAGGACCAGCCTCAACTACATCATCCCAGGCAAGGTTTTGTCTACCTGGGTGTAGCTATGCTCCATCCTGCCCTCTTTGGAGAATTGCTCTAACAACATAATCACCAGCTGAGATGGCCTTTCCCCTGCTGAAGTTACCTTATTCTAGCCCCAGATAATAGAGCAAGTACCTGTGTGTACGGGGGGGTCTGTTCATTCCTCGGCTGCTAACACGATGCTGCTCACAACAAACTCTCTGCACCTGTCCTGTATCCACTGAGGAGGGTGAAAAGGGCTACACCAACAATTCACTCAAGAGGAAGGAACCAGACTAGTCTGGGCTTTCCTACTTGCTCCTTGCTAACCAAGCCAGGCACTTAACACTGCTAAGAAAACCCTGCTCTTCTCAAGCCTGGCTCGTCTGGCTTGATTTGCTGCATATCAATCCAGATCTAGGGCTGAGGTCTGCTGTCACACTTTGTACGCCTAAAGGATTGCTTTTGTATGTTAATATTTGTTGCAGTATCTTATTAGGCATCAAAGGTAGCTTCTCTGGCTGTTGCTCCTCTCTTTCTTGGAGATTGATACTGTACACATTTGCTTTCTTTCCAATCGTCTCTTCCCTTCAGTTGTCCAGAGCTTTTCAGAACGAATTGACAGTCTCTGAGCAAGTCACAAAATGCATCATGCTCAGCCTCCTGAATGATCTGAGCTTGCTTTGTAAAACGAAAGGCAAAAAGCAAACAGCATAAAAAGGAAGGGTAAGGTATGATGAGGTGGCTTGTCCCTTGAAGGGCTGTTGGTTCTGGGGGTAGTCAGCTCTGTTCAATTATCCGACCCAGCTGGAAGAGGTCAGATGCTTCCCCTGAAGACCTGCGACTCTGTTTAGAAAGAAGCTCAGAGCAGACGGAGGGTCTGGCTGGAAAAGGCTTTTTTTTGGCCTGAGGTTTTTGCAAAGGGTTTGTCTGGCTTGGTGCTCTTTTGCAAGGCTTTTGTGCTTGAAGTAATAACTGATGCACACTGCGAAGGGCTTGGAAGAGATTTGGGTCCAGCCATGGCTTTTCCTGGGCAGCCGAAGGAGCAAATTCCTCAGAGCTTAGGGGGGTGGTTTTGCCTGTTTTGCTCTTTTCAGTATTTTCTGGGTCAGGAAACACCAGCTGAACAGTGGGAAGTGAGAGGTATGCTATTTGAATGAACAAAAGCCTCCTGCACATGTAGGAAATAGTAATCAGGAGGCGCAATGAAAGACGACTGTTAAACACATTTAGAAAATGAGATCCATGGGATGAATTATTT